TACTCTTTGAAAAGGATATTCTTGAAGAGATGAATTTGGAAGGCTGTTACTTTGTTTCAAGGTATAAAATTGGCAACAATGTCCTTGGTGCCCTACACTGGTACATCAGTTCTTTGTTCTTTTTACAACTTTATTTTGAAAATACTGTGTGTACTTAGCAAAATTGCTCAATTATAAAATTTTTTAAAAAGAGCTACTGCATGCTCTTTCTAAATGAAGACACTTATTAAGGTGAAGTAAGATGCATATTTTTGGTAAAATCTAATTGTAGAATTAAGGATCCCTGATCATATATTAATGCACTTAAGGTTGTCAATGATTTATACACTCATTACAACAGAGTATGATACAGATTAATTTTCCTCAAGCTTTGGTCTTTAAATGTAACAGAAATGAAAACCAGGACAGTGTCAGTTCTAGTAGTCAAGTGGAAAAATCCTGACTTTTAATGTTTGGCTAGAATGACAGGTTTGTAGACAGTGATAATATAGTATACATATTAGAGATGTTTAATAATATTAAGTCCTAATGTCTCCAGTCAGTTCTGTTCACTATATAATGTTCCTCGTTCTTCCTGACTGTTTCAACAAACAGTTCCATTAAATAGTATTGAATTTGCATATGAATTAATCTTTCAAACTCTTTTCCTATTAATGAATTTTTGCTCTTAGCCAAAATAAATAAATAAAAAACTAGCCCTAAATTAGTAGCCCCCTAAAGTAGGAACAGACGACTGACAAATAATGCCACCAAAATTCTTCCATGAGTTTCACGTTAATGTAAAGTGTGACATTGGTGGATTACTTATGTGAGAACAAAACACTACATTTAGGTTTTAGTTAAAGACTCAGTTCTTAACACTTCTGAAGAATCCTGGATAAACATGAATAGTTTTCTTTTCCTCTTCTGTGTTAACATAGCTGTTAGGCTGAAAGAAGGGGAATGAAATAAGCAGGGCCCTTGAATCACACCCTTTAACATTCTCTATATACCAAAGTAGGGGTTGGCAACCTTGGTGTACAGTGGTTCACCAGGTGCCAATTCTCTCAGCTTGCAGCTGCACATTCTAGTGTCCACTTACCATTCCTACGGTGCCACAGGCTCTCAGGAACAATGACCATGAAGAGGGGCAAGTGAAGCAAGGCAGCGGGGAGGTGAGAGGCAGCATGTGGCACAATAATGTGTTGATGTCCAATGCTGTGGCAAAAAAGTTTGATGCCCAGGGCAAAGCCCACAGTGGAAGCCTACCCTCCCCCTGCGCACAGATCTGAGGGGCACACTTCCCCCCACCCCATGTTTGCCCAGGAGTGCATGCAGAGGTGGGAGCCACCCTCTCCCCGCCCCCCAAATGAGCCATCCTGCACCCCGCCCTGGCTGGGCAGTGCCTATTGGCATCCCTTTGCTTCAGTACCCAGGGGGATTGGCCCGCTTGCCCCCCACCCATGCTACAGCACTGCTGATGTCTGTCACCTTCTTCTGCCCCCCATCCTCTCCCTTCCCCCAGGTGCTGCAGGCCAGATTCAGGGGTAAAGAATAGATTTTTTCCTGTTCCATAACCTAGAGCTGCTGCTGCTGCTACTACTATACTTCTAATCAATAGCAATAACTGATGAGTCACTCCACTCCCCTCAGCATCATCATCTTTGGTGGGGTTTAGCACTGAAAAATGCAAGGTTCTCCA